TCCTGACTCACAGGTGGGGCCCTCGATACATCCCAGCACACTCTTCATGAGGCTTGTACACAGGTGCACAATCAGGTGCTGGTTGCTACTAAAGCATGGACCCAGGAATGGAGATTTCATCCCACCCAGAGCTCTAAGAAATCTCCTGGCTCCAGGATACCAACTAGGATCCAGAAAACAAGGAAAGGAACGAAAAGGTAGTTCTTTCGTGGTACACGCACTTTCTCCCTGGAGCCACTCAGCCCCTCTAGCTGAGAATCCTTGGTCAGTTTGAGGCCACATAACACAGTGGTATTGCCACGCAATGCCACAATGGGCTATGAACTAAAATTGACATTTAAAGCGGACCTTTACCCCTTTCACTGAAAAAATCACAGTATGCTGTTATGAAATCATCTTACATTCATTAGTTAAACAAACATATTTTTCCTTTTACGTACAATTTTCCACTTCCTGGTCCTCTTGGGCATTATTGATGCAACCTGTGCCCAAGCATTGCATCCTGGGAAGATTACAGTACATTGCTGGGATGTCTCATCTGTAATCTCAGGAGATCTCAGGGAAAAGCATGTTCCTCCCCTGTGATGATGTGCATGGTCACATGCCCTAGTCACATGTGCCAGAGTTCCAGGAAGTAAAGGGAGATCTAGTAACCTGCCCTTAGTAAAAATGGCCACCGTGAGAAGAAAGGGGAGGAAAAATAAGGTATGCAAAAAATAAAAAATCCGGCAATTATCTAGAAGTATGTGTTTGTAGATTGTCATTACTAAACATTTCTAAAGGTGTATTGATTGTTATTTTGAAGATATGGGTAAAGGTCCACATTAAGCTTGTAAGTATACTGTAATGGGGCAGAGATATGTAATTGGGCCCATGTAATCTGTATATCACTGTATGTTGGTGTTGTAAAATACATTTACTGGTCACTTACTACTCACTTTTTTGTGACTATATACACTCAATGCAAACAGAAAATCAATATACTGTATATTCCATATTGTAAGCAAAATTTGACACATCTGGTTCTGAGTTTCTCTTCATATAACCCGTTGCTATAAACGTGTTACCCAACATTATATGATATAAAGTAGTAGGATCCACTCCTAGATTATATCCTTTTTTTTCTCCCGGGTGGTAATTTTTCTGAGAAAACCATATAGATCAGGCTCTGTAGAAGATTGTTGATTC